ATGAATAATTGCACATATGAGGTCACGACATAGGAAGGTCATCCAGATGCAAGAGCGCACACCTATGGGTCACGCCGAAGGTCGTTGAACCTTGTGGAATGCGCACGCCAGGTTTATTATGCAAATTAAGCCGGTTTGTTTTTGTTTGTTATTACACGAAAGTTTTTATTGTTATAATAAAAACTTTCGTGTAATAACTTGTTATTGTTATAATAGAATAGTGGTTATTTTCAAGTGTAAGAAGAAAATATGTACATACATGTGTACATGTTTTAAAGCTTTTTTTTATTGAGAAAGAAAAATCAAGTTCAAGAATAAGAGCTCAGGTGTGGTATGTTAAGATTAATTTTTATTTTTCTAATAAAAATGAAATACAAATAAAATGACACGATTTATGTAAATTTGTCTACTGGTGCAAATAATATTTCAGAAGAAAAATTAAATTGTACAATGTAAATTTCCAATTCAATCAAGGAAGTCGAGATTTACAAAATGTATAAAATACTATTGCAAATAAATTATTAATAGAGTTCTTACTACTTTGTGTGATGCAAATTATATACATTAAATAAATAATAAAAATAAAACAAAATTTACAATATATCATTTTTATTTATCCAAGAATTGGGACTATTGTTAAAACCCAACCACTTAACAAAAACTTGATTTCCTTTCTTTTTTATTATTTTTTCAACAAGAAAGGCGTCAGGATTTTTTACTCTGGTAAGTTCAGGTTCATAAAATGCACCTGAAATCGGAGTGTTTGTATAGTCAAGTAATGTGTAAGTGATCGGATCTGTTTTATTTGTATTACTAATTTTAAAAATCTCTGTTGACCAGTTTGGTTGGTAACCTTTTGCAAAATTTTCTTTATGTTTACTAATGCGAACATAATCTCCAGTTTTGTACTTTGGTTTTTGAAATAACTTGCATGTATATATTTTTCATAATATCTTTCTCATTTTTCTTGGTTACCTTGTTAGGTGGAAGCTTGATTGTATGGTGGTAAGTTGAGTTATACTTTTCAATGAGAGATGATAAAATTGATAACCATTTGTAATTACCTTGAAAACTAATGTGCTTCCACATTGAATTTTTTAAAGTACGATTGAAACGTTCCACAATAGATGCTTTCAATTCGGAGTATGTATGATAATGATTAATCTTTTTGTTATCCATCAATGTTTTGAATTCTTTATTGAAAAACTCTTTACCTTGATCAGATTGAATATTTTTAGGAGTTTTTGTAGCACTTTTGAGAATATTTTTCATAGCAAGTGAAACACTATTTGCATCTTTATTTTTGACTGGTTCTGCATATGCATATTTTGAGAAAGTATCTATCACAGTTAATAAATATTTATATCCTTTGTTAAATTTTGCATATGGAATCATTTCAACTAAATCAATTTGCCAGGTGTCGTTTAAACCTTTTTAAATAAATTTTCTTCTTCGAAAATTTCGTCTTGCAGGTCTATGTATTTCTTCTACAATTTGTTTTCTTGACATTGTTTTTGTACCAGTCGACAAGTTGTCATAGCTCAGTGATATAATTATCTATAGTATAACAGTTACAAGTATCTGGTCCACAAAATGAATTATTATAGGCCCAAGGACAAAGGTCAAAATGGTTACCGTATATTGATGTAATCCTTTTAGATGCAGAAAATTCTTTTATATATTTATATAAGTGATTAATTCGTTGTTTGTGTTCGTTTAATAAAACAAAAGAGTATGTGCTTAAAAACTCTTCTACCTCTTGTAAGTCCATTTTACGATTAAAAACATTATTTGAATGGTTGTGGTTTTTATATAAATTTTGTAAACATCAATATTTGGTTTCAATGATTCACAAACCATCATCGAAAAATGATATATTTCAATCATCCTTTCACTATGATGGTTGCAGGACCATCTGGATGTGGAAAAACAACATTTGTTTGTAATTTAATTAAAAACATAGAGAGATTAGTTTATCCAAAAATTGACAAAATTAAATGGTGTAACCCAGAAATTTCTGCAATCCCACAAAATATAAATTTTGCTAAAACAGAATTTTTTACAAGCATACCAGAAGAGTTAAATGAAACCGAAAAGACATCTACATTAATTGTTTTAGATGATTTAATGTTAGACGCTGCTAATAAACAAGTATGCGAACTTTTTACAAAGGGCTCTCATCACCGTAATTTATCCATTATACTGTTAACCCAAAATGTTTTTCATCAGGGTAAATATTCCCGTGATATTTCGTTAAATTGCAAATATTTGATTCTTTTTAAGAACCCTAGAGACAAGTCACAGATTTTTCCATTGGCTAGACAACTGTTTCCTGAAAATATTAAAGACTTTCTCAGGGTATATAATGAATCAACTGCAAGTCCACATGGTTATATTGTGTTGGATTTAACTCAAGACATAAACGATTTATTTCGAATTAGAAACAATATTTTTTCGGAAGAATATTGCGTTTGTTATTGTAATAATCGTGATTTAAATATTTGTAAGAAATATGAAGCGATTGAAGAAAAACCAACATATGTTGCGTGTACTAAAAACATGCCATAACAAAAATTTGCGGAAAAATTTACTAAAATATTGTGATGATGACGTTATAAAAACTATTGCAGAAATTGCAATTAATATTTTGAATGGAAATAATAAAATATCAAAAGCGCAAATAATAAAATTAAAAAAATATAAAAAACATTTAAGATTCTTAGCTTGTCCTCAAAAAAGTATAAAAGCCAAACGCAAAATATTAGTCCAGCATGGTGGATTTTTACCCACATTGATTGGAACTATATTATCCGGAGTAATAGGAAAACTACTCAGCAGGGCATAATGCAGAAAATGATTGTTATGACTCCTGAAATATTTGAAAAATTCAAAACTGTATTTGAAGAAGATAAAAATCTAAGTTTGTTGGATCAAAAAATGAAAAATGTCCTTTATGACAAAAAATTAAAGCCTCTTCAAAAATGGTATTTATATAGGCAAAATTTGATGAAACATGGAATAAATAAGCGTTACGAAAGAAAAACACCCCAAAAGCCAAATAAAATTACATTTGATACGGGGACTCAAACTAAGCACTACTCTAAGCGAGATGCAGTCACAGAAACAAAATTACCCGAATACAAGTCATCAGCAGTACAAACAGATTTTTTACCATATGTTACTGATGACGTGTTTTTTGAATATGATCCCAAAAGCGAACTACAACAAATGGATGTTGATGTAAGGACTCCTGATTATGAATGGGAAAATCAGTTTGAAGAATTAGCAAAAACAGAAGCGTTAAAAGATGATAAATTACTTGAAAGGCCGTCTTTGAGCCCGGATTATCGAATATACGAAACATCATCTGGTGATATTATAACTGTTGCTGTACCATCCCCCGAAAAAAAGAAAACACTAAGGTCGGCTGGCAATTTACTTTCCCCTAGTATATTGTCTAAATTTCCTGAAACTAAGAAACGAAAACTGGCACCATTAATAAAAAGCCCTAAATTGAGAATATCATCAACGCCTTCTTGGACAAGATATAAATAGCGCAACCTTTTGTAGTTTGAATTTATTTAATAAAGATGAATACTCAAGATGAATTTTACATTACTTTGTTCAGCAATGACAACTTAAATTTGTTTCCCGACAATACCTTAGCTTCTTTTGAAAATAAGCTCCCAACTTATTTTGATCTACGTAATGGAAATTGGAAAGTAGGTATTTCAGAGATATATGTGAACGATTTTCTACAAACAAACAAATTTATACGAGAAAAATGTGCTTTTATTAATATTGGAGAGTATACAGTTTATGTAACCGATATTTTGAATCCTCATAAAAAAATTAAAGTAACAAAATCTATAGGATTCACATTTTATTCATCTGATGATTCAGAAATACATCTAGATGATTGGAAATTCAATTTTTTACCAACCCTTGTAAAAAATATAACTCCTTATGCAGGGTTTACTCGTAATCAGGTTATGCAAGAATTTTTCAATGAAATATTAACGTACATTTCTGATCCAAAACATTACGATGTAACATTTGAAAAAGTTTCGGAATCTAACAGAAAAGATTTAATTCGAATATCACAGACGTTTGAAGAGGAAAATTTTTACATAAAAGTTAATCATAATTATAACGTTAAAACATTGCTAGCTGAAATATTTAAACAGAAAAAGAATATAAAAAATTTTAAAACAAAATTACCAGAATTGTTCAAGCAAACTTTTGCAAATAGTACAGATGAATTAAATGCAATGATAATGATTTATTCGGATATAGTTGAATCATCTGTTTTCGGAAATAATAAAGTACGTGCATTAAGAGCTATTAATATAGAAAATTGTAGAAAACCAACAAATATTGAATTCTGCAATATTCAGTATGTACCTATAGAAAAAAATATTTTTGAAACTATTGCACTAAAAATATGTGATCAGTATGGTGAAACAATAAATTTTGTACCAAATTTTTATCCGACTAAAATTGTGTTACACTTCAAAAAGTAAAACAATATAAATAGTTCTACATAAATAAAAACAAGTTTATTCAGATATGGAACGAGCGTATGTGAAATATTATTCTTCACAAGTGGGGGGAGGAATCAATGACATCGGACCGTTGTTACAGTTTTATCCAGCTCTACAGCGAGGTCGTAGTTTTGGAAACTTATTCGGAAGTTTGCTCCGGTACTTAAAACCAGTTATTTCATCGGGCTGGGATCTTGTTAAAAAACAAGCTTTAACTACAGGTACAAATATTCTTAATGATATAGCATCTGGTGCAAATATAAAAGAGACAGTAATTGATCAAGGTAAAGGAGGAATAAAAAATTTACGAAAATCAGTTGTCAATCAATTGCATTCAATGTATGGTGGAAGACGACGACGACGGGCTATAAAAAGACAAGCATCGCATAAAAAGTCACAGTCAAGTAAAAAACCACGAAAAAAGCAAAACAAAACCTCTGATATATTTAATTAAAAATGGAATGTATGAAATCTGAGCTAGATCTTTTTGCTTCATTACCTGTACAAACAAGTATTCTACATTCAGAAGAAGTCGCGTACAATCCACTAGCTTCCTTAGAAGCGTCACCTTCAACGATAGAATTTGTGTCGCTTGGAAATGGAGATACTTATCGTGATTTATCTGCGACATATATTAAATTCAAAGTTCAAATGCTAAAAAAAGATGGATCGCTTTGGAGCACAAGTGATAAAATAGGAACGGGGGCTGATGTAAAACTTGCTCCTCAGCCTAGTGTTGTAAATAATTTATTACACTCAATGATTAAACAATGCACTGTAACATTAAATGGAAAAAATATAACTCCTTCTGATTCTATGTACAACTATAAAGCATATATAACAACTTTATTAAATTATGGGACAGATTCCAGTCAAACTCATTTGGAAGCATCCGGTTGGGAACTGGATAAGCCTAATGTTAATGATTCAAATAATTCCGGCTCTAAGTCTAGACAAAAGTTATATAGCAATTCTGCAATTGTAGAATTAATGGGGAAATTGCATGTGGATTTCTTCAATACACCAAAATTACTTATAAATAACGTTGACATTAGAATAGCATTAACATTAGAAAAACAAGATTTTTTTATTTTTTTCAATGATACTGATGAAAGTTATCTGAAAATTCTTGAAGCAACTTTATATATGAAACATTTGACAATTAACCCAAACATATTGCTAGCACACAATACAGTGCTTGAAAAAGCAAATGCAAAATATCCGTATATTAGAAGTGAAATTAAAACATTTACCATTCCGGCAAATACATCCAATATTTCATTAGACAATGTGTTTATAGGACAGATTCCAAATGCTATTGTATTTTGCATGGTAAGCAATGAAAATTTTAATGGAAAAAGGTCAAAAAATCCTTATTATTTTGATCATCAAAATCTGACACAATTTCAACTTTATGTAAATGGCGCACCAGTTCCCAATTCACCAATTGAAACAAGTTTCTCAACACACAATTTCTGCAATTCGAGGGCGTACTTAACGCTATTCAGTGGAACAGGCATACATCATTCTGACAAAGGTCATCAAATTTCAAAAGAGCTTTTTACAAAAGGATACACAATTCTTGCTTTCGATTTATCACCAGATGGTTTGGGGACCGACACATGTCAAGCACTCCTGAACCAAGGAGTTGTCAAAATTGAAGCAAAACTTAGTTCTCCGTTATCTTCAACATTGACTTGCATTGTTTTTGCTGAATTTGATGCAAGCATAGAAATTGACAAAAATCGAAACGTCTACGTAAACATATAAAAGGACAACTACCAAAGCAAATTTATTCCATTTCACAATGACGTGTGCTTTAGTAGATATGTCGTTCTGTACGGATGACAACAATACAATTTTTGTAAAAAATATTGTTATAGCTGGAATAAAAGAAAAATGTAAAACTGTTGTTAAAGAATTTAAGTATAAATTTCCTATAAAAGATCTAAAAATAACAGATATTGAAAATTACTCATTTGGACATATTGATAATAAAAATACAACTAAAAACTTAATAGATGCACTAAGAAAGTTTGATATAATCTTAACAAATGGAAAACTGAAAGCAGAATTTTTAACAACACATATAATAGGAAATATTAATCTAATTGATATTTCCAAAATATCGAAAAATGAATACACTTCAGATTTCGAAAGCTCTTAAATCTAATTATTTAACACGCAAATTGTTTAAAGGTGTTTTTGCTCTTGATCAAATACCGAAAACTATTTCAAAACCAGGAATTTTAATCGTGAACTCCGACACTTCTAAACAAAAGGGAACTCACTGGCTAGCAATTTTTGTACCGATTCAAGGCTGTGCTGAATATTTTGATTCTTTTGGAAATCCTCCATTTTACAGTGAAATAATAAAATTTTTACGAAATCAATCAGAATGTTTTGTTTACAATAATAAACGTTTACAAAGCGATTTTACATCAGTATGTGGGCAATATTGTTGTGTATATTTGTGGATGCGATGTTCCTGTAAAAGCATGAGAGATTTTCTTAAATTGTTCAACACAATATCCCCACTTAAAAACGATAAAAAAGTGCAAAAAATATTTCATACAATTTTCCGAAAACAACTATAAATACAAGCTCATAAAACAAATTCTTCAGTTTAAATAACAATGGAACAAGAATCAAACTTGGCAATTACTGGGAAACATGAAAACGATTTATCGTTGGCACCAAATTTGTTTTTATCTTACACATATTATTTGGATAAAAAACAAAGAACAAAAATATCATTGGGATTTAATATAGAAAACTTTGCTGCATCAATAATCTTTCAACGTCATAATAAAGTCATTTGTGTGATGAATTACTTGGAATGGTGCAAATTTTATCAAGATTTCATTAACAGTCAAACAAAATTAACAGCAAAAGGATTTCCTCTAACATTTCACAATGACGGAAAAATTAAAAAAATTACGCTACAGCTGGATGAATATACGCATTTTTCTTTAATGCTAGATTTTTTACAAGCTGTGATGTCTTATAATAATGGTGCCGAACTAAATGTTAGAGAATACGTGTACAGATATATCGATAAATGTATTGAAAATAACAAATTAAGATTGAATCAAGAAGAATTTTATATACCTATGAATTTGCACATAGCTCAATGCAATTATTCTAGATTATTTTACGAAATTCCAATGTTTTTGCCAGAAAAAATATACTGGTCAACAATAAATAAATCAAATGTTTTTTAAAATATTTTGTTTTTTTATTTTTAAAAATTTACAGGAACCTTTAAAAGTGGGTGGGGATAGAATAATATATATATAAACGTAATTGAATTTTCGACATAAATGTTAGTTGGTAGAGAAACATGAGCAAGGCGGTAGCAGATTTGCAATTTGTCATTGGAAACAACGGACAATATTTCTTAAAAGAACTCAGCTTGATAGCTGACGGGTGTTTTATGCCCATATATTACATTTTTCGACCGCCTTATGCAAGCAACGAATTGCACAGTGATGCCAGACACCAAAGCACTTTTAATAAAAAAGAAATTAATGGGTTGTCATGGGATGACGGCATTACTGAGTATTGCGAGGTGCCAGAAATTTTAAGAACTTGTTTTGAATCCTTCAATAAAATTTATGTCAAAGGAATCAAAAAGAAAGAATATTTGGACAAGTATATTTTGGGTTCAGCAGAAGTGGTCGACCTTGGTGACTCTATTCCTTCCTTAAAGAAATTACGGAGTTACACCTGCATATGTCCTCACCACCATGATAATAAAAATAAGTTAAGATGCGCTGTTCAAAATTGTATCAATATTTATATGGAATTAATAAAAAAAAATGATATATTTTAAAAATATTGGTAAACTGGACTTTTACTACTTTCAATTTTAGATCTTTAGAATCGACCCTCTGGCCACTTAAGGTCCGAGTCGCAACTTTGTTGCTAGGAACCTGGCCGCTTAAGTTTTAGCCTTCTAGCCACCCAAGTTTTCACCCTCTGGCCGCTTATGGTCCGAGTCGCAACTTTGTTGCTAGGAACCTGGCCGCTTAAGTTTTAGCCTTCTAGCCACCCAAGTTTTCACCCTCTGGCCGCTTATGGTCCGAGTCGCAACTTTGTTGCTAGGAACCTGGCCGCTTAAGTTTTAGCCTTCTAGCCGCCCAAGTTTTCACCCTCTGGCCGCTTAAGGTCCGAGTCGCAACTTTGTTGCTAGGAACCTGGCCGATTAAGTTTTAGCTTTCTAGCCGCCCAAGTTTTCATCCTCTGGCCGCTTATGGTCCGAGTCGCAACTTTGTTGCTAGGAACCTGGCCGCTTAAGTTTTAGCCTTCTAGCCGCTCAAGTTTTCACCCTCTGGCCGCTTATGGTCCGAGTCGCAACTTTGTTGCTAGGAACCTGGCCGCTTAAGTTTTAGCCTTCTAGCCGCTCAAGTTTTCACCCTCTGGCCGCTTAAGGTCCGAGTCGCAACTTTGTTGCTAGGAACCTGGCCGCTTAAGTTTTAGCCTTCTAGCCGCTCAAGTCTTCACCCTCTGGCCGCTTAAGGTCCGGGTCGCAACTTTGTTGCTAGGAACCTGGCCGCTTAAGTTTTAGCCTTCTAGCCGCCCAAGTTTTCACCCTCTGGCCGCTTAAGGTTCGAGACGCAACTTTGTTGCTAGGAACCTGGCCGCTTAAGTTTTAGCCTTCTAGCCGCTCAAGTTTTCACCCTCTGGCCACTTAAGGTCCGGCTCGCATCGCTTACGCGCGTACGCGCGTACGCCGCTCGGCCCGAGGCGGCGCCTTTTTTGTAGTCATATGAAAGAAGAAGAATGCTGTAATTTAACAATGGCAAAGAAAAAACATTTTTATTTTTTTTGTTTTTATTTAAACTTTTCGTATTTTTGCTGGATTTTGTTCAGTACAGTGCAGTACAGGAATAAGCTCGAATAATAGCATATTCCATCGGTCGGCGTCTCGACCAATATACTTGATGTTCATAGGGTTGGTATTCAAGTAATCTAATTCTTCTTGATTTCTTACTTTTTTTGAAAACCTGTCCGGCATGAATATGGTGCACCGAGAATTATCGTCCGGACTCTCCACTTCACAGAGAACCACAGTGTCTCCATTATTTTTATTCAAAAATCGCCAATTCACTACTTTATAAAGTTTCCTCAGGATCAGGTCATCTAATTTCTTGTAGGAATCTGCATTGTCTCCCCTTCCTACTGCAATTAAACTCTCCAGAAAAGACGCCTAGAGAAAAACAAATTAAAAGTTGGGAAAAATAAAGGTAAAGAATCTTACCATTTGTTTTGGGTATATGTATATCTAATGTTTTTTTTTTTCAAAGAAAACTGACTGAAGTATAACAAAAATTAAATCTTTATATACTCAAGAAATTACTTTAGAATTCTCTCCCCGCCAAATAATATGATTTTCTAAATAAAACTAGAAACACGATTATAATAGGAGCGGTATATTTAACACATGATTAAACAAAGAAAAGTTGTACGTTCTTTAGTTCTATAAAAAAAAAAAAAATTATGTCACGTTTTATATAATCCTGCACTTGCAATGCACTTTCATTTGTATAAAAAAATTTACGTTATAGTTAATTAGAATTTTCATTAAAACTTAATAGACACGTCATGCATTTTAAAATGTGATTATATTGAAAATTGCTGCACCTGTAAATAGCAAGTTTTATACATTGCAATAAATACTAATAATAGAATTTTTATGTAAACTTTATGTTATTAAACATAAAATAACAGAGTTATTAATTGTATTTTATTTTTTATTTTACTTAAAACAAAAATACTTACTTTAAAATAAGACCTTGAATATTGTTGCAACAGTAATTAGCAAGTTATCTACATTAATAAAAATAGAAACAAGATCCGCATTCCACAAAGTATTTTTTTACATATATAAATTGATAATGTTTTATAAGACAAGGGTCCGCATTCCAAAAAAGTGTTATACTAAGAATTTTTAATTGTGTTTTAATTTTTTATGTAAATTTAATAAAAATGGAAACACCTGACCTTGCAATTATAACTGCAGTTATCTAGATTAATAAAAATATAAACAAGATCCGCATTCCACAAAGTATTTTTTAACATATAAAATTGATAATGTTTTAAAATATTATTAGAATAATTATAACTTTAAAGTAACTAACAACATGGCAAAAAAAATGATGTTAAATAAATTTTTAAAAGAAAACACCCCAAAATTTGATAAAATTGCTGAAAAAACTCAATATATCAAAAAATTTGGTGTAACGGCAAACAAAGTTATTTTCAAATTAAAAGCTTCACCAGAAGAAGAAGATTGTTTGTTAAAAATCAAAGAAGGAGTCAATGAAGTAATTGAATATGCAGTAAAAAAACGTTCTTCCAACGGACCTAATTGGGATAACGTTTTACGGCAACAACTTTCAAGGGCGTACACCAGGATGGATGAACTTTAAAGAGGCAAGTGAAGTAAAGTTTGACGATATCTGGGAACTGATATTCAAAATATTTCAAAGCAATACAGAAGGAATTAACCCTGATTCTTTCGAAATAACAATTACAACTGTTCGCTTACCTTCAGGAAAAGGAAGGGTAAAAAAATATCTTACTTTTGAAGAAGAATGTCTAAAACGAAAAGGCATTGTTACCATAAAAAATAAAGACAGTCTTTGCCTACCACGTGCTATTATGGTAGGAAAAGCTTTTGTTGACAAAGAGCCCAATTATAAAAAAATTTGCATGGACGTCAAAAAAATTCAAAAACAATTGGCTTTAACACTTGTCAAAGATACTAATTTGAATATCAAAGAAAGTGGCTCTGGAATACCTGAATTGAAGAAAATTCAAGATTACTTTGGTGATAAATACAACATAGTGGTTTATGACTATAGCAACAACAAAAATATAATATTTGAAGGAAAAACTGAGGGCAAACGAATAAATCTTCTTTATTATAATAGGCATTACAACGTCATTACCTCTCTTACCTCAGCTTTTTGTAGAACTTATTATTGTGAAAAATGTAATATCGGATATAACACTATAGATAGACATATGTGTGGAGGACGCTGTAAATGTTGTCAGCAATCACCTGCTTGCAAAAACGTTATTGAAAATATATCCTGTTTAACATGTAAACGGACATTTAAAGGTTTAAGATGTTTTGAAAATCATGTAACTAAAAATATTTGTATAAATTTGCGTAAATGCTTAACATGCTTTAAGAATTATTCTACTAAATATGGAACACATAAATGCAACACAAAAATATGCAAGAATTGCCTAAAACAAGTAGAACAAAATCATTTTTGCTACATTACAGTTAACAAACAAAAACCTAACATAGATAATTTTCTCTTTATTTTTTACGATTTGGAAACTAGACAAGAAAAAATTGTATATGAAAAATATAATCAAAACGCAAAATTACATGAAGCAGATTTATGTGTTTTTTCAACGAGATGCCATAATTGTATAAATGAAGAGAATTTATTTTTCTGTTCAAAGTGTAAATATAGATTAACAGTTATTGATACAAATGTAATATTAAGCTTTATTGGTTGCGTTTTCAAATTGTCAAAAGAATTTAAAACAGTAACCGTTATTGCACACAATGGACAGAGTTTTGATCACCAATTCATATTAAATGAGTTATTACTTAAAAGTGATTTGGAGCCCAGCTAATAATGAAAGGTACAAAAATAATCCAAATGTCAATATCAAACATTAGATTTTTAGATTCGTTGAACTATTTACCGATGCCACTTGCTCAACTGCCAAAAGCTTTCGATTTATCAGTTAATTTAAAGAAAGGATATTTTCCTCACTTATTCAATACAGAAAAAAACAAAGAATACGTTGGACCATTACCACCACATGAATACTACAATCCAAACTTAATGTCAAAACCAGAACGATTAATTTTCTTTAAATGGTACGATGAAAATAAAAACACCGAATTTAACATGCGAAAGGAGATTGTAGAATACTGTAAAAACGACGTAATTATTTTAACGAAAGCTTGTTTAAAGTTTAGAAATATTATACTAAAAGATAACAATGTATGTCCGTTTACTGAGGCTACAACCATTGCATCAACTTGCAATTTGATTTTTCGACGGAACTTTCTCAAAGCTGAAACAATAGGACTAATACCAAAAAATGGATATAGATTTACAGATATCCAATCAAAAATAGCTTTACAATGGTTAATTTGGGAAGAAGACCAGCGAAAAATTAATATCCAACATGCCGGTAAACAAAAAGAAGCTATCATAAATAATTTAAAAGTAGATGGATTTTGTGAAGAGACCAATCAAGTTTTTGAATTTCATGGATGCTACTATCATGGACATCCAAAATGTTTTTCTTACAGGCGTGACGAACCATTAGAAAAAAACGCAACAGACACGCTAAATTCAAGATATGAAGCTACAATTTCAAAGTCAGCCCGACTGCGTTTATTTGGTTATGAAGTCATTGAAAAATGGGAGTGCGAATTTAGAGAACAATTGATTGATAACCCAGATATGTTTTATTTAAACGATCATCCTATTTTAATAAATCTTCCACTTGATCCTCGGGACTCTTTCTTTGGTGGACGAACTGAAAATATAGTTACTTACTACAAAGCTATGGAAAATGAAAAAATTAAATATATTGACGTTTGTTCTCTTTATCCTTATGTTTGTAAATATGGTAAATTTCCCATCGGACACCCAGAGATTATTGTTGGAAACGATGAATGCATGAAACAAAATTTGAAAACTACAGACGGATTAATAAAGTGCTCCATTCTTCCTCCAACAGACTTATTTATCCCAGTACTTCCAATAAAACAAAACAATAAACTAATCTTTACTCTTTGCTTTACATGTAGTGAAGAAAAAAATATGGACGATTGTACACATGCTGACAACAAAAGGACATTGAATGGTACTTGGGTTATAGATGAAGTGGTGAAAGCTTTAACAAAGGGATACAAAATAATAGAAATTCACGAGATTTGGAAATATTCAGTCCAGCAATATGATAAAACTTCATCTAAACCTGGGTTATTTACTGATATAATGGATAAATTTTTAAAAATAAAACAAGAATCATCAGACTGGCCTAAAACGTGTGTTAATAAAGAATTGAAACAGCAATACATAGAAGACTTCTTCGAAAGGGAAAACATAAAATTAGACGAAAATAAAATATGTGCAAATCCTGGAAAAAGATCAGTTGCAAAACTTATATTAAATTCATTTTGGGGTAAATTTGGACAAAAAGAAAACCAAACACAGACAGAAATAATTAAGACTCCAGCTAATTTTTATACACTAATGACTGATCCAAACAAGGAAGTTCATCATATATTGATTATAAACGATGAGACTTTGGTTGTTAATTGGAAGTTTAAGCATGATGAAATAAAACCATTGAAAACTGTAAATGTATGCGTAGCAAGCTACACCACTGCACAAGCACGATTGAAGCTCTATAGTTATTTAGAAAAGCTGGAAAACCGAGTGTTGTATTACGATACTGATTCTATTATATTTATTTCAAAAGAAGGTGAATACGAACCACCGTTAGGTAACTTCATCGGGGACATGACAGATGAGCTCACGTCATATGGCGATGGTAGTTTTATAACTGAATTTGCTTCTGGAGGACCAAAAAATTACGGGTACGCAGTGTATTCAACAAAAAGTCAAAGTCAGGTAGCAACATGTAAAGTTAAAGGAATAAAAATGACTTACGAAAATTCTGAAATTATTAACTTTGAAAAAATTAAAGATCTTGTTTTAAATAATGATAAGGAAGGTGTCAAAATTATAACTTCAAATTTCGTAAGAAATAATCAACACAACGTTATAACAGCTCCACAAATAAAAACATACAGGCAAGTGTCAGAAAAACGGAAATTTTTTGAAAATTATAGTTCTTTTCCGTTTGGATATAAAAAAAAAAGTATACAAAGAATATAAAATGTCTATTTTGAAATAAAAAAATAACTTGATAAATAAAAATGATATATTGTAAATTTTGTTTTATTTTTATTATTTATTTAATGTATATAATTTGCATCACACAAAGTAGTAAGAACTCTATTAATAATTTATTTGCAATAGTATTTTATACATTTTGCAAATCTCGACTTCCTTGATTGAATTGGAAATTTACATTGTACAATTTAATTTTTCTTCTGAAATATTATTTGCACCAGTAGACAAATTTACATAAATCGTGTCATTTTATTTGTATTTCATTTTTATTAGAAAAATAAAAATTAATCTTAACATACCACACCTGAGTTCTTATTCTTGAACTTGATTTTTCTTTCTCAATAAAAAAAAGCTTTAAAACATGTACACATGTATGTACATATTTTCTTCTTACACTTGAAAATAACCACTATTCTATTATAACAATAACAGGTAAAAAAAAAAGCTTTCGTGCAATAACAAACAAAAACAAACCGGCTTAATTTGCATAATAAACCTGGCGCGCATTCCACAATCTGGAATGCTCTTGCATCTGGATGACCTTCCCATGTCGTGACCCCATATACGTGATCTCATTTGCATAAATTATTTTCCTCTTACACTTGAAATAACCACTATTCTATTATAACAATAACAAGTAAAAAAAAAAAGCTTTCGTGTAATAACAAACAAAAACAAACCGGCTTAATTTGCATAATAAACCTGGCGCGCGCATTCCACAAGCTTCAACGACCTTCGGCGTGATCCATAGGTGTGCGCTCTTGCATCTGGATGACCTTCCTATGTCGTGACCTCATATGTGCAATTATTCATTCATTCATCTGAATCATTGCATTTAGTCATTTATATACCATGTGCACTTCCGGGGTCATGCATGTGCACCTGACGCCACCGGCTGTTAAGTCATTCATCTCGTTTAATATGCAGGAATCCAGTTATAATTAACTATTCAAGCATGCAGGAATGCAGTCATAATTAAATATGCAATAAAAAGGCCATGCACCTAGGTGGCACGCGCCTCATTTGCATAATTATTTTCCCATGCTCAGGTGACCCCATTACTACTGACATAAATTGATTTTTCTGATCGTTTTTGTTCATCAAATTTCTGCAGAATTAACTGTAGTGTTCTCTCAATTGAAGAGGTGTTCTCAGTAGTTATTTTGTTTTTAGTTGCATGTGCATATGAATGATACTGGGGGATTGTCGTGTTATTTGTAAAATCTACTGGCTTTAGAGGAGTAATTAGATTACAGCTCTGCGTATTCATAGCAGCGTTGGTTTCAATGGTTTCTAAGTTCTCAGCGTTATCAATTAGCTTGCGTTCTCCGTTGTTACGCATTTTTAACTTCAGAAGTTTCATTCTCCTTTTCTGAAACTCCTTTGCTATTTCACAGCCACGATAATTGGCAGGATGCTGTCCTTTGCAGTTGGCACATACTGGTGGTATATTTTTACTTTTATTACAGCTAGCGGTCAGATGATTTTCACCACATCTGACGCATTTAGGAATTTTCTTGCAATATGCCTTGGTGTGATTGAAGCTTTGGCATTGTTGACATTGGGGTATGTAACTTGGAGTTTTTCTGACTGGCTCTATTCTTACGGTGATCTTTAGAATAGTTCTAATATTATAAATACTTGATATTTTCTCTTTGTTATCGAAAGTTAATCTAAACAGGGGAAGACTCCTCTTAATGATCGTTTGCTGACCCTTGTCATCCGTAGCTTTTTCCTTCTTTATGATGTGCACAGCATTTAAAATTTTTATTCCTTGTTGCTTAATGTCAGCTATAATATCAAGGACATCACAGGTCCCGTGGAGGCCTCTGACCATGACGCTAATGGGTCTGTCATTTTTATTTTCATATGTGAACCATTGTATGTTATCATTTTCCAATTTTTTTACCAGGTTCCTGTAGCTATCTGAAACTTCTGTATTAACCTTCCATACGTTATTAGCCAATGATGTGATTTTATACTTTTTTATTGCCGCATTTACAATATTCTGTAGTTTTTTATGCTCGTGTATTCCAACAATATTTATTGGAGGTGGTACATGTTGTTTAGGTTCCTTATTTTTAGATAGTTCTGTGGTAGTAGGGTTGACAGTAGTGGTGGAATTTACATCATTGTTAGAGGGAGTAGCAATTGAAATCATATTTCTGCTGCAATTATCCTGACTAGTAATGATTTTTGTAGTAGCAGGAACAAATACTTCCGGAGAGGACTTCGTTTTACGTTTTTTATTTACGGGTTTTCTTGTGACAGCAGTTTTCTTCTTGGTTTCCGAATCTGTTTCAAAACCTGTTAGTTCGGTTTCGCTCGTGGAATAAGTAGTTCGCTTAGATTGTTGGAAGGACGAAATAGCAGTTCTCAGAGAGTCGTTTTCTGTCTTAAGCTCCATGATTTCTTTCTTTAGCGTATCGCATAAATTTTCTATTTCAGCTAATTTTTTGCGCAGAATTGCATTTACATTTGGTATATCATTATTAACAATATTTTTAGTACTCTTCGTGGTGCCAACTTTAACATTTTGTTCTGGAGGAGTACGTTTAGTTAAGGTACTCCTACCAGTTACGCAAGTTGTTTGATCGAACGTCGATGGTATTGTATAGTGCAATAGTTGGCCTTCCCCAGAATCCGTAAGGCCGACCTCCTTGGAGGGTGGATTTACCATTACTGGCGTACCACCTGGGGTAATCAATCCTGTAGTTTTTTCCATTGCATATAAAAATTCGTGTAATCCTCGACAGGAGCCCTTACATGGTACTATCAGCCGGGCCAGCTGAACCATGGTTTTTTCAGAGGTTGATACTCCTCTTGGATTTTAGTGGACTCGTACCACAAGCATGCCTTACTGCAGGTTTTTCTTTGCCCCACCTGCCGAGCTATTAATATAATAACAGATAAAATGTTGAAAAGCAATTGTGTGATTCAGCAAGTATTATTTAATTAGACTAGGATTACAGAAACAAGCTGATGGTTGGTCATTTTGACCAGTTTTAGCTCTACATATAGAAAATAAATCTAAATAAAAAAAAAAAAAAAAAAAAAAAAAACAGATACTTATGTATAAATATTTGCAACTTACAAAATAAATTTATTCAAAGAGGAAAACAAAATATGTAATGAGTTTTGTTTTGCTACATTAAATCTGATATATAACAGGCACACAAAATTATGTAAAATTTTAAGGTTGGCAAAATTTAGGATAAAGTTATATTGATATAATTTTGAAAAATACATATGCTTATTAATAAAAAAATTGCAACTGAAATAACTTTAACTAAAATTTCGAAAATAAAACAGACCTTTTTACGGAACTCTATTAAAAATTAGCCCAGTCAACAGCATTAAATATTATCTTTGTAAAAAATATGAAGCTTTGTCTCGTGAGTATATTTTTCTCCATCAAAGATAATTACATATGTATGTATTTGAATTTTCATACATTACAAGTCGAATTAATTTTACCACAAACTTTGACGTTGTCAAAAAATAATTCATTCTTCAATAGAGTATTTTAAAATTATTAACCAAAGTATATCTATTTTATAAGCAATTTCACTCTCCGTTTACATCACACTTATGCAATCATTCACCAATTTACGTATGTATAGAAAAAATTCCCTCAGCTAAAAGAGTTAAGCAGTGTATCTTATTATTTTCATTTTTATACACAAGAATTTTTGGGAGGAAAAGAGTGCATAATAGATGTCTACCAGATTATAAACAATAAATTTTTAAATGCGCAAAAGAACATTTCTTTCGTAATTAGGAAAATATTAGGTATTTTAAAGTCGTGCAGATATAGTCGTTTTAGAACTACAGCCTTTTGAAAAAGAAAGGTAGCGAACTTTCCTGCATATAAGTTAACTCTTGTATAAAAATGTTAAGTTTTGGAACCGCTGCTTGTAATATTGATATACTTTGGTATTTACATGCATTTTATTTGTTAATATAACATTGTGAGTAAGTTTTAAATATGTCGAAATTACAACCAAAATGTAATTTTTCTAGATCGGATGTTTGTTGTTAAAATAGGAGTTATAAATTTAAGTTTAAATCTTAAAAATATAACATTCCCGCACTCCTGTATTCAACTTAACGAATATTTGAACAGTGTAAACAGGTATGTATGTATAATATTGCTCTTTTGCTGAAAAAATTGATACATATGTATATCCATACAAATGTATGCAGGTACATACATATATGGCAGATTCCGTTTTATTGAAATTGAATGCAGTAAAAATTAATTGAGTCTAACAGAAATAATATTACATATTATCTTAAATATGGCAGATAATTCATTGTATGGATTATTAGGCGTCAGTCCAAACGCGCCGGAAGCTGAAATTAGGAAGGTTTGTATTTGGCCATAAAAAACTTAGAATGAGATTACAATAATGCATGTATGTATTTGTGTATTTGATGAAATTCCATTAAAAATAAAATTTAGAGCAAATTGGCTGAATTACATACGTATGTACATATGTATATTCACGAATTTCAAAGCTCATCTATGATTTATTTTGAAAATTTACAACAAAGGTAAATAACGTAAATTTTATGAAGTTGAAAAGTTCTATTATAATATTAGTTAAGTCGTAAGAAAATATTAAAAATGGCTGCAAGAAATTTATTGTGGTAGAGAATTGAATTTAAAATGTTTATCTCCTATTTTTAATTTTGCAGAATTACAGGAAGTTGGCTAAAGAATATCACCCAGATAAGAATCCGGGTGCTGGCGATAAATTTAAAGAAATCTCGTTTGCGTACGAGGTTCTATCAGATCCGGAGAAAAGAAAAACCTACGACAGATATGGTTTGAAAGGATTGCAAGAAGGTGATTTTTAAAAATTGTTAATTTTAAATGTATATTTGTAATTCAGTTCCTATATAATATTATTTTCAATGCATTCAATATTTACCTATAAGCTCTATTTACATTATTTGTGGAATCGATTCAAAGGGCTCATTCTGTATCTTACTTTTACAGTCACTTTCTTCTTGAATTGTTTGTTAATTTTTTATAAAATATCAATATTAAAACTTGTAATAGAATGGTACCAAATTTTGTATATTATGTGATACCACAAATATGTCAGTTATTCACAGACAAAGACTTTTATGATGTAATCTCTGTGTAAAAAGAGAAAATGTTTTAGAAGGAAATGTTTCCTAATGGGAGTTTTGTGATAATACCAAAATTATAGTAATAAAAAAGTAATAATTAGTAATTTAAACATTACACAAAAATACTTACATAATACTTATATGATTATCACTTAATTTTTACTAGTTAGATACAGAATTGGGCTTTGATGTTTTAAATTTAAAAGTAAAAAATGAAGTATATGCAAATGTACACGCTTGATTAGCAACGCTAAAATAAATATAATTTGAAAAAATAAGGTGCTGATACCGGGGCGGAAGACATGTTTATGCATTTGTTCGATACTTTACACGGCTGCCGGGGAGGCCGGGAGAGGCGTGTTCGTGAAATTGTGATAAAGCTGCCAGTCACGTTAGAAGATTTATACAATGGTAATAAAACGTACCCTGCTGATTATAGTCGAAGAAGAGTAAAATTCTTAATTTCTAAAGTATGTATTTGAATTAAAACACTATCTTGCAGTTCTGTGAAAAATGTAATGGAGCTGGGGGAACTGGAAGCATAGAACAATGTCGTAATTGTGAGGGCAAGGGTATGGTTGTAGTTATAGAGCCGATTGGAGCAAACATTCTTGGGCAGGTAAATTTATTTGATTGGTTTTTGTGCTTGCAATGAAGGAAAAGTTAATACTCACCTTCCTGTACACACATTTTCACATAATATTAAAAAATGTTTTGAAAAAGGTTAATCGTTCATGCATTGCTTGTAATGGCCGGGGCATAATTGTATCATCTGAAGAAGATATATGTGTTGAATGTAAAGGAACAAGATTTGTAGATCAAAAAAACAGTTTAGAAATTCACATAGAAAAAGGCATGCAAGATATGCACAAAATAATGTTTCGAAGTGAAGGTAATCAAAGTTCTTCTGGTGAATGTGGAGATGTAATTGTCATTCTAATTCTTCAACCTCACAAATATTTTGAGCGTGTTAGGAATGATCTTTTCATGAAAAATGTTGAAATTTCCCTAACACATTCTTTATGTGGTTTGGAATATGTTTTTAAGCATTTGGATGGACGAGACATTGTTGTAAGGAATAAACTGGGATGTGTGATAAAATGTGATGAGCTCAAAACTATCGTTGGGGAAGGAATGCCTTTACACACAAATCCTTTCGAAAAGGGTGATCTCATCATTCAATTTAATGTTAAATTTCCTGAAAACAAATTTGGCAGTCAAGAACAGATGGAAAAACTCGAATTGTTGCTGCCTCCAAGGACTCCGTTTACAATGCCAAATGGTGAAAATGTTGAAGAAGTAGAAATGGTGAATCTGGAACCAAGAAATGATGGATATAGTAGCAGTGCTTCTGCCGGTTTGTTTTATGAACCTGAAGATAGTGATTTCGATGAAGGAGGTGGAGCTGGTGTTCAATGTCACGCTCAATAAATATTTTTGTCACTGATTTATATTTCAAAAAATAAAAATTTGATACTTTAATTTTCAAAAAGGTTACCAACCAAAACAGAATTTTCAATCAAAGTAATTACTTGCAGATATTTAAAATTACTTTTCATGCGTAAGATGTACATAAAATAAGATTTCTTAAAACATAGAATTCTCATTTATTTCTAGATTAATTCATGTATTATGTTTATTTAAATAAACGTGTATGTAAGTTTTAATAAATTATTCTTAAACATCTTACTTTTAATAGGTATCTTATATATACATTAAAATAAAATTTAAACCGAAAATTAAACGAAATAAATGAGCAAGACGCAGTTTAATTTTAGTAATTCTTCACGAAATTATGAAAAGTACTGGCCAAAATCATTCGACTTATTTTAAATAACAATAGTGTATAGTTGTACACATATACTAGTCGTGTCTGCTTGCATTGCAAGCTTTATGAGTATTATGTCCGTAGTTTTGCAATTGTGTTCCATTTTGTGTGCGAGATATTTTAAGTTTACTTTTTTTCATTAAAAATACCTACATACATAGATATGTTACACATATTGTACATATACATATGTAGGTATTTTTTTCCTTATATTTGAAAATAAAACTTAAAATAAGAGAAGCTCTTAAAAATAAAAAAGTATATAATTAAGCAAATAAGTAGTTCCTCTGAAATCTAATATCTTTTGAGTCACTTATTTTAGAACCTCGCTTTGAGTTCTGTCGCATAAAATAGTAAAATACCTTTGACAATAAGCACTTTAAGCGATAAATTACTGTATACGCATAAAATAATTCGCCACTAAAATCCATGCACGTACATATGTATTTGGATTTTATAATACATAATAAAACGTGTGAAAGTATAATCAATTAATTCTAATACTATATAGGGTAACGCGTTTAGCCTACAATTTCTATGCAAAAAGTCTCAGGTTCGAACCTGGCATTTTAGTTCCCTGAAAAATGCGATTTCTTAAATAATTTTTTTTTAATGATTTTATTTTTTTTGTTCTTTAAAATGGAATTAAAAACTTTACCCTTGCAAGTCAATTTCAGCGAGTTTCCGCCCTAAATATTTTTTTGAAAATATCCTATCCTTGCAATAAAATAACATTTTCTTATTAAATTTTGTCCTAAAACTATATTGTCAAGAAATTTGATACTTATACAACCAAAAGTGAATAAAAATTACACTTACAGGATGTAGTATTACTTTGTAAAAAGCTGTCGCAAAGCGTCTTTCGGAAGGGGGGAAGGGGGAGAGTGCGTCGAATTAATGCTTTTTCTGGGACGCTAGAAGCAAAACCCTATCTAACGCCTTTTGTCCCATGTCTTTAGCCTTTTTTATGTTTCCCGTGCTGTTTAACACCTGAGAAGTAGCTATATATGTACATATAAAGCGTAAAGTAGGAGCAGAAGGTTATTAGATCGATGCTTGAGCGAATTTGTCGTATTTTTCTTTTTTTGTATTATGTACATATTTTAAATTTTTTTTTGTGGTATTTTCTTTAAATTTTTTGTTTTATTTTTTTTTTAATAAATAACATAAATATTATAAAAGTTTTGATAAAAATTTCCAAAGAAATATTGTAATAGTTTCAAAAATAAAAATTCACAAAAACTTTAAGTATGTACATATATATGTATGTATGTATAATTTTTTAAAGCTTCCTAATAAATTTTTTTTAGATTTATAATATGAATTAAATAACATTCAAAACTTTGTCTAACCTTGACATTTTTTAATTGAAAAATGATTTTTTGTAATGTCAAGGTTTGACATATAGAAATAACTTTTCAATTCATAATTATTAAATCATGAGCGTAAACATATGAAAATAAATTTTTCAAATAAAGAAAAGGTTTAGGCAAAAACAAATGGATATTTTAATCAAATACATGTACATATGTACATATGAATGTATTAGAATTGAATATTTTAAATTTTTTCGTTCGAACAATTAGAAATAAAATTTTAAGTAAAAACATACATAATTTTGAATGTTTACCTATTTTTTTTAAAACTATGGGTGAACATATAGAATTAAATTTTTCAAATAAAGAAAAGGTTTAAGCAAAAACAAAATAACAATTTCATTCAAATATATGTATGTATGTATGTACATACATACATATGAATGTATTAGAATTGAACATTTTAGGGTTTTTCGCTCGAACAATAAAAATGAAATTTTAAGTACATATTATGTTTTAAAAATAAAACTTCATTTCAGGAAATTGATTATAAGGTTCTCTCTCTACATAACAAAGCTACAAAGAAAACATTGGCTACTCCAGAAAATATATTTTTAAGACTCCTGAAACCGCATCAGCAAATTTAGTTTTCAAAGAGAAAATAAAAGACTTGATTGATTTATTTCCTTATTTAACATCTTCAGATATAGCTTATTGGAAAACTTTATTGCGAATTAAATAAGAAGTATATAATCATACATAAATGAAAAGTTTAAATTAAAAATTAATTAAAAATGTAACTGAAGCTGTGAAGAAAGGCTATTTTTGTTCATTTTTCGTTATTACACATGAAAATACATTTAAGATCGTTCCGAGGAGTACAAAAGCCCTTACAGAGACGATTGTTTGATTGTTATACCCTGCACTTCGTGAACGGTATATTCACTTTGGTATGGAGTTTGTAAGCACTTGCACGGGTCTTCTCCGGTATGGTCATGAATACATATATATTCTTGCTCAGCGTAAAATTCTGCGTTGATTTAGACATGTCAGTCCGCACGTCCGTCCAATTGCATGATAACTCAAAAATGAATAATACAATCGACACCAAACTTTCACAAATTGTATATTATATAGCTACCATAAACCCAAAGGGTTGTTTTTAAATATTTCCAAAACCAATATAGGTATTAACGTCAAAATTTGTAAAGGTGTGTCCAATTACGTTCTACATATGTATGTATATTCTGAAAATTTTGATGGGATGGTTGCGCTGGTTCGGGTAGCTGTCATACAACTCCGAAAGTGAATTTTAAATATTTGAAAATTAATAAACTAGATTCATGAAAGTCAGCCGTTGTGTGTCCAATTTCAGGTCAGATATATTTCTGAGATTTTGGTGGAATTGCTTGACAGGTTCGGGAAGCTGCCACACAACCCCGAAAGTAAATTTTAAATTTTTGGAAAAATGTTAAAGCTAGATTCATGAAACTCGGCAGTCGTGTGTCCAATTTTAGGTCAGGTTATCTGAAGTTTTGATGGGATGACTTGACAGGTTTGAGTAGATTCATGAAACCCGGTTTCTATTGAGTGGTTTAACAGATTCAAGTAATTGCCTTTTAGCAATCAAAGTTATTTCTAAATATTTCAAAAACAAAGTTTTAAACTCAGGTTGTCAAAGTGCAGGGTATTATTCAGGCGGTTTATAACTACTGAAACATTTTTACTTAATTTTTTATTTAGTATTATTAAATTTAGTAGGTCAACTTTAAATGTCATGAAAAAAGATCATTTTTTATATTACCGTTTTCTTAATATTATGTTACATAATATTAAGAAAAAAGCAAATGATTTATTTTTGTATTAAAAAGTTAGCAAAAAAATTATAGTAAATAATTTAACAAAACAGATATTGTTTTACTTAAACAAGAAATAAGAAGATGCATCAGTAAAAACGGTTCAGTTGGACCGATGGTCGGAAAAGTTTAAATCAACGCAGAATTTTAAGCTGAGCAAGAATTTGCTTACATATTCATACCGCAGACGACTCCTACAAGGGATTCAAATATAATAATTAAAAAAATAAATATTAACTTTATGCATAATTTAAGTCTCTGGTCAAAATTATAATAGATGGACCACTCCGTTTTGGTGTAACTCCAACAATAAGAACAAAGTGCTTCAAAAAAAGCGAATGTAGACCAAAATAAAAAATTAGGACTTCAGGAAATCTTGAAGAACTCTTAAACAGTTAGCAGAATACCCTTGAAAATTTGCACGCAAATTCATGAACAGATGCTTATTTTATGAGCAAAACTGAAAAGATCCCAACGCGCAGATTTTTTTTATTTAATCTCAAATTCTAAGTCGCTTTTCTCGAAATCATGTCAATGACGTATAGGCTAAACCAATCTTTAGGTGACGATAGTAGTATGTATTTTTGATGTACATAGATTACCCGTAGAAGAAAATTTTTACCTATGTCCCCCCTCTAAAAGTTGTAGCCCCCCAAAGCCTTAAAAATGCTTCTTTTATAACTGTATACTGCTTGAAACCATAAGCATTTTTAAAAATTTTGCTAACGCAGAAAAGCCGTAGCTTGCTTCTGCTATCGCGGCATACTATAATTTAACTTTGAAAAAACAAAATGGCCGTTAAAATTTACCGTTATCTAAAATCCGATTTTTGCAAATATTTTATGCCGTTTTTCTTCTAGACCCAAAGTCTGAAATTTTAATTGCTTTTATGCACTAGTAAATAGTTTATTTCATTAGAAGAAAATCATTTTCCATCTCCACCATATCTCAAGTTCTGAAGTTGTATGGAGAAATTTCCATTAAGTTAATATTAAGTTTTAACTAAATTAACTAAATAAGTTTTAATAAATTAACTTTTTCTAATTACAAATTTGAAAAAGTTCAAATCGTGGGAGATTTTTGATGTTACAAAGCGCCCTCTATAGATCCCTTAAGAATATGTGAAAATCCGTCAGCTGTGTACTGCCACTTTCTCTTAGGGTCGAAGCAAAGTATTTCTTTTAGTATTTCTGTCAGCCATTTGACCATTGGTGCAGTGGTTATGGCACCGGCCCTTTAACCGAAGGGTCTCGGGTTCAAACCCCGGTCAGGTCACTATAAAAATTATATTCACTATTACATATATCTAATTACAAATTTGAAAAAGTTCAAATCGTGGGAGATTTTTGATGTTACAAAGCGCCCTCTATAGATCCCTTAAGAATATGTGAAAATCCGTCAGCTTTGTACTGCCACTTTCTCTTAGGGTCGAAGCAAAGTATTTCTTTTAATATTTCTGTCAGCCATTTGACCATTGGTGCAGTGGTTATGCCACCGGCCCTTTAACCGAAGGGTCTCGGGTTCAAACCCCGGTCAGATCACTATAAAAATTATATTCAATATTATTATAACTTAATATACAATACTAATAAATATTATACACGTAATTTTCAAATATTCGTAATATTCGATATTAAAAAAAAAAAAAACTAAGAAAAATAAACAGTAAATATTAATAACTTCAAATAG